TCCCTTGCTGTGACAAGATCAGAGGAACCCGTCACGTCGTCAGCAGTCGGTTTTTAGGTCGATACGAGAAAGACCGTGACAGGGCCGTGTAGCCTAGAACCATAAGTGCGGTAGATGCGACTGCAGACGCGATCAACGCAGTTCGCGTAGTGAGAAGAGAAGCGGATATGGCCACGTACGGTGAAAGCATATTTTGATTGAATAATAGTAATACTACTTTAAACTTACTATTAGTATACATTTATAGCATTTAAATGACCGTTCAGCGTTTGGTTTTGGAGTTATGTATGAGTCAGTCTTAGGGATATGATTGGCCAGGCCAGATTGGGGTCAACAGACACTGCTGCGTACATGTTAACAGCCTCGAGAGGCTAGAGGTTGAGCCTTGCACGCGGAGTTGGGTAACTATAAACATGCTGATTGTTTCCTGTTTCGCATCGGGCTGCAAATTGGAGACGACCTTGAATTTACCAACAGTCAAAGTTTCTGCGGCAGTATCCAAACTTCCGCCGTGAGAGTTTTCATACGCACAACGGTCTGACTAGTTTTTTTTTGCAGATCGGACATGGGTGGCATCTTTAAGCGCGGCAGCTACAGCATTAACTAGGAGGCCTGTGAGGTTGACAACGAAGAACGTACCCGAACCATCTTAGTTTTATTTCTTGGATGGCCTGGGATATCCTTGTGATGTTGTCGCAGTGAGTGTGGACTGCCCAAATTGAGCCGAAGGCGGCTTACTTCAGTTGAAGGAGTTTCTCCAAGAAGTGGAGTTCAAATACTTCCAGTTTTCGTTCTTCTTCCACGCAAAAGCCCAGCATTCACAGCTATAGTAAAGGACAGACCGAACCGATACACGGTACATGCCAATTTGTGTGGCGACGGCGATCTCACGTCGGGTCCATAGGCACTTTCTAAGGCTTGATAAAATTCGACGAACAGCATCAATTCGGGGACAATGTCATTCCCATTCGGCAGCAGCCTCGTCCTGAAGTATTTGGAACTGTCTACTTCTTCGAGTTGACAGCCACCAATCTCGAGAGGGGCCTGTTGGACAGGGATGCAGCATGAAAACACTTTGGTCTTCTCAGCGACCGATTTGGTAACCTTATTCACTCGTAACATCAGAGACTGCAGATAATTAAAGCCAGTAAGGCAGTGTCATAGGCGTAGTCTCGATCAGTCAATCAGCGTCTGGATACAAGGTCAACTTCGTACTCTTCATTTAGGGTCTTCCCGGGAATCCAGTCGATAGTATAGTTGAACAGAATGGGTGACAGGGTACAGCCTTTTCGAATGCCAGACCGAACATGGAAAGTTAGTGGAACATTGTTATGGACCAGGACTCACGCAGTGGTCGATCGGTAATTGCAGCACAGCTAAAAACGTGTCTCCACGCTTGACACCTTGATATCCCGCATCTGTCTCGAAAGCGCATCTCAGGGAGGAGGCAACATCTCGTCGTCCAGTATTGTGACGTGTTTGACTGCGAAAAGCACCTTAAGTTAGCTGGATTGATCTGAAGCTGACTTTTAGTTTGAACTCGCCTATCGCAGTGGGTTGAGTTAATAGGTAAAACCCTTGTGAATGCGATCCTCAGCCCCGGTTCCCTGTTGAAAAAGTAGAAGCAGAAAGCCAGAGCCGAAATAATAGTTTATTCTGCGCAGAAGGAAACGGAGATTAGGTAGGAGGGAGTTGACTGTCGGACGAGAGTGCATCCACTACTTAGCGGGGGCAGCATCCAAAGTGTCTGAGCGTGGCAGTCGTCTCAACGTCCACAAAGCTGCCTTTGTATGAGTCAGCTTTGAAAGGTGATTGGCCAGACGGATTCGGGGTCACACGAAGTTTGCGGCACCCGTCATTGGCTGTCCCAGAGGCATACCGAGACTGCAATCACGTGAGCGTCCGCACAGAGTGGGGTCACTACACGCCTTCCAAGCACAAACAATCTATAGACAGCTCCCTCTGAACTTCGTGCTGAGCGCAGAAAAATATGTATAAATAATACAATATTCTTTAATGAATCTTCGAGAACTGATTCCTATATCTTCTTTTGGATGCAGACTAGAAGAGCTAGAGTTGGCTCTCTTTCGGATTGGTCAGCGAGCTCGCCTGCATCTAGA